GCGGGCCCCCGCAGGGATCAAACGCTGAGCCTGGCTGTCACTGTGTGGAGGAGGGCATGGGGGGGGCAGTGCCGGCTAGGGGTCAGAGCAGGCGGGGTGGGGGTGGGTGGTATAAAGATGTCAGGACATTTCGGGCATATAGCCCCCCACACTTGCTTGCTCTGGGGTGACCTCTTCCCTACCCCGTGCCTCAGTTTCCCCCTTGCAGCTCATGGTACTGCACACAGGAAGGGCTGGGGGGCATGCTGGGGTGACCCTGGGGTATGGGGTGCTGCAGGAGCCCCCCTCTGCAGTCTCCATGCCAGCAGAGGAGGGAAGGGGCACTTCATCGTGCCCTAGGAGATGTGCCCGGGGGTTTTGCAAGGGGCAACACTGGCTTGGTCTGAGCAGCTGCAAGCCGGTCTTTGCTGCTCTTCCAACGCTGGGCTACCCACACTGGGCTTGGCATGCCCCTGCCCATGGCCCCCCGAGCCCAGCTCCGTGCCCCCCGCCTCACTGCATGGACAGAAGTCCCCTGGACCCTCCCAGGACCAGGAGGGTCCGGAGTCGGCCCCGATCCGAGTCACTCTGGGTGCTGTGCTGGGTACAGCCGGCCCCCAACCCACCTGTGACCCCTGCCTTCCCCTCAGCCCCAGGCGCCATCCCCTAGGGCGAGACGCCTCCTCCGCCCCCCCAGCCAGCTGCAGTGGAGACCAAAATGCCTGCGGCAGGGCAAAGGCAGGTGCCCCGGGGGAGGCCGGCCTGGCAGGCCCTGCCTGGCTTCAGCTGCCGGAGGGGAGAGCTGGGAGGAGAAACACAAGGGGCCCATTCAGTCCTGGCATCCTGTGGGCACCACCCACCGTACGCTGCGGCTGGGCTGGCCAAGGAGAGGCCGGGCAGGCTCAGAGACAGGGGTCCAGCCGGGCCAGAAATACAGAGGAGGGAGCAAGACCTGCCAGCTTTCCCGGGGATGCCAGGAGGCAAGTTGACCCCCCACCGGCCCCTCTGCAGATGGCATCGGCCTCTGCAATTCCCTGGTGCCCAGCACGGTGTGGATAGAAGGGGTGGGGGGGTGCATAGGCCCAGCAGCCATTACCTTGGCCTCGAGTGCTTGCAATACAGGTTCACTTTGAAGCTCCTCTCGCCGCCCTCCGCCTCGCTGCTGGGCTGGCGCGGTCCGGAGCCCTGGGCGCGCTGGAACCATTCGGCGGGCGGGCTGGCTCCGTTCTCCAGGCCGATGGGCTGGCAGGCGACCGAGCTCCCATCTGCAAAATGGAAGCACACCGAGCCGGGCATGTCAGGCCAGAGGCAGGGGCAGGGGCAAGGCATGCCATGTTGGGGGGAATCGGCGTGTGCCAGGGGCTCGGGGCGGTGGCGGGCATTGGGGGGCATTGGCGAGGGGCTGCATGCCTCCCGCAGCCCAGCGCCCGGCACGGCACCAAGTCGTGCTCAGCTCCAGTGTCGTCAGCGCGGGCTCCCACAGGGTTATTCAGCCTGGCGGCGTGCGCACGGGCACCGAGAGCAGCGCCGGCTTTCACGCCTACCCAGCTGTCGGCAACTGTCGGGTTGTCTAAGCTTCTCTTTCCCCCTCTAAGCCGCCTTTGCAGGAGAGGACTGACAGGTGAGGCTCCGGGGGCGATGGCGTCCCCTTCCCTGAGTGTCAGCTGGGGGTGGCTTGGCCCCGGGGGCGGCTGGGGCTCTGGCTCCGGCCAAGGCACTGGCTGTAGGGTCCTTGCAAGGGGAAGGGTGCTCCCCGCGTGCCCTCCTGCTCCTCTCTGTGCCCAGTGTCCGTCTGTCTGACTCTGGGTTTCTCCGGCCCCGGAAGAGCTCAGCCTGGCTCTGAGCCCTGCGTTAGCAAGACCTTGCACCCAGGGCTCTCTCTGCCTGGAGGCGGGCGGCGTGTGTGTCTGCCTGCCTGAGCTGGGTTGTGCTTTTTGCTTCCTTTGTGTGCCTGGCTGGGTCCATGCCCTGTGCGTGCATGCACACGCGTGTGCGGGTCTCCGTGTGCTCGTGCGAGCCCCCGTTTTGGGCTGTCCTGGCCCGCGTTTCCTCCCTCTCTCTCTCTCTCTCTTTGTGCGGCGCTGCCTCTCTTTGTGCGTGTGATTGTGTGTCTCTGCCAGCTTCTCCTGGCTGGCTTGCCTGCCTGTGTGCCTCGCCGATTGTGCCTCCTACTCCGTCGCCTGGTGTGTGCGTGTGTCTTTCCCCAACCGCCGTGTGTGAGCGAGCGCGGGAGAGAGAAACAGCATGTCCCCAGCTCTGGATCTTTGTTGTCGCTCCTCATCGGGGTGTGTGTCTGTGAGTGTACGTGTTCCCCCCCACCGCCCTGAGCTTGTGCAAATGTGTCCTCCCCCCCCAGCACACAGACGCACACATATTCTCTGCGTGATCCCAGTTCCTGGTGCCAGGATTAGCGTGACAACTTATCAAGGAGGCAGGGAAGGAGAATTCAAACCTGTCAGTTCTTCAGTCCATGTTCCCCCCATCGCCACCCCCTCTCCCTTCCCCTGCTCCAAGCCTTTGGTCTCGGAGCTGGCACGGAAATGCAGGCAGCTCCCCCCCAGCCCAGCGGAGAGCTGCGCTGCTGTGCTGCCTGCCTGGTGTTGGGTTACACCGAAGGGCAACGAGGAACAGGAAAATATGCACTAGAAAGACCGGTCTAGTCTCTGATGCATCTGCTAATGCGCCCGGAGCTGAGAGCTGCTGGAGAGGAGAGCGAAGCAGGCAGGAAGTGCACAGAAGGCTTTCCAGAACCGCCTCTGGGTCCCAGTCCCCCCCGCCGCACACACACACATGCACACACACACCCAGGCACACTCACAGGCACTGCTCTGCCTTTTCACTCGGCTGAAACGTGGAGACACTGAAAACCAGTGCAGGCACTGGGCCGGAGCTGAGAGCTGCTGGAGAGGAGAGCGAAGCAGGCAGGAAGTGCACAGAAGGCTTTCCAGAACCGCCTCTGGGTCCCAGTCCCCCCCGCCGCACACACACACATGCACACACACACCCAGGCACACTCACAGGCACTGCTCTGCCTTTTCACTCGGCTGAAACGTGGAGACACTGAAAACCAGTGCAGGCACTGGGAGCCCTGGCTGGGGCTGGGGCTGGGGCTGGGGAGGGTTACACCGACAGGCAGGAGGAGAGGGGCTGGCCCGGGGGAGGCAAGCTCGTGGCACTCATGCTGTGCGTGCAGGAGACACGCGGAGATGGACGGAGCCCTGGGGCGCACAGGGAGTGTAGTGCACACAGCAACACACACGTGTGCACAAACACACGGACTCCTGGAGACACACACAGAGTCACAGCAGAGCACACAAACATGCACACATGTGTGCAAACACGCAGAGTCACAACAGGAAACGCACAGTAACACACACCCGTGTGTACAAACATGCAGACACGCAGAGAGACACACAGTCACAGCAGGGCACACAATAACACACATACAGGCACACAGATGTGGGTTTCCAGAGACACACACATTCACACAATCACAGCAGGGTACACAGGAACACACACATATGCACAAACACGCAGGCTTCTGGAGACACCAACACAGCCACAGCAGAGCACACACATAGTAACACATGCACAAACATGCAGGCACCCAGACACACTCAACACAGGGCACACACGTTAACACACACACACACAAACACATGGGCTCCTGGAGACATGGATGCAGCAACTGCAGGGCACACACAGAGTAACACCCACATGTGCACACACTGGCTCACCGACACCCCCGTGCATGGGGGCACACACATGAAGTCCCAGCCAGGCATACGCAGGCACACAACACAGATGACCACAGGGTTATAGAGAGGTGCAAACACACCCGCAGAAATTCAGGCACCCACGGAGAGCAGCACACGCCGTGTCACGCATGGACACGGAGGGAGGGAAGCATGCAGAGACTCTCAAAGGTGCACACCCCCACGTGCACACCCCCACTCCAGCCAGCTCCTCGGCTGTACCCAGACCATGCAGGCAGGCGTGGGGTCCTGTGCCATGGCTGCCCGGCGGCTATTCCAGCCCTTTCCCCAGGAGGCTCAGCCCGTGGCCGGGGAGGAGCGGAGCAGGAGGCACTCCCTGCCCTGGAGAAGGATGTTTGGGGGCACAGAGGGGCTTAGGCACGTGGGGGGAGGCTGCACCACCGGGGCACCCATCCGGCCCCATGGCAGAAGCAGCCTGCTAGAAGGGCTCAGTCACAGCGTCCCATTCAGCGTGTGCACACACATGTGCACATATGTGTGCGAGGAGGGGAGCGGCTCCAGACTCGGATCTGCGCCCCGGGGCACGGGACCTGCTCGGAGTTGGAGAGCGGTGGCTGGGATTCAACCCCGAGGATGCACCCCGCCACCCCCCATCGCCACACCGGTCCCCTGGCACACCGTCTTGTCCGCCAGGCGTGGGGAGGGGGGCACGGCAGCTGCCCAGAGGCCCCGGGTTTGCAGGGCCCGGAGAGAGGGGTGGGGGTGCGGAGGAGACAGATGCTCTCCACACAATGTTCACTTTCACCTCCTCTGCTCAGCCCCAGGCAGCGGCCACATGTTTTACATTAGGAGCTCTGGACTTCGCCATTCCTGGGTTGTTAGCCAGGGGTAGGGCTTTTTTATCCACCCCCCCCTCTTTTTTTTTTGCTGGTTACAAAACACCAGCAGAGACCACACAAGAGAGAGAGCGAGAGATGAAGGCATGGAGAGAGACAGAGAGAGATGCATGGGGAAGGAGAGAAAGGAAAGGGGGGGGGGGGCGCGTCGGCAGAGACAGACACCGAAGGAGAAATGCCGGGTGTGCGTGCGCGAGTGTGAGCGAGTGTGAGCGCCAGCGAGATTGCAGTCACCTCTTGTTTTCCACCTCCTGACCCCTGGAGCCTTGGCAAGATAACAGCCCCCGAAGAGTGCTGACTTGCCTTTCAGAAATCCAATATCCTCGCCTGGCGAACTAATCGACTACCTGAGCTCCCCCCTTCCCCCCCCAGCGCGGGATTAATCCTGCCACTGAAAATCTTTAATTAGTTTAACAGTTTCAGGCTTGGCGGAGGCAGGAAGCAGAGACACAGACACCCCGGTCCCCCCCCGGGACCTGCGGGGAGGCGGTGCAGCCTGGGCCCGGGGCTGCGGGGGGGCCGCCCCGCTCTCCCCCACGGAGGGAGGCGATGCTGGGAAGGACACGGCCCCTCTGGAGGCGGCATCGGGGGTCCCCAGGGCTGTGTGGGTGGGAGGGAGGCAGCTGGGAGCCGGCGGAGGGAGGGAGCTAGGATGCAGCCAGGATGGCAGAGTGTGCATGTGGGGGGGCACCCTCCACCAGCCTTGCATGGGATGGGCTGCCCCCCCAAACCCACCGCTGCAGGGCATGGAGGGCAGCGCCTCAGCCTCCAGGGCTGCCCTGATACCATGGGGACGGGCACGGCGGCTGCACAGGTCCAGCGGCAGGCAGGCGGCACAGACAGGCTTCAGGCACCTTGTCCTGCACCCCCCAGCCCAGCTCTGGCCACCTCGCCCGGGTGCAAGGGGAAGGCCCCCTCGCCCTCTCCCCAGACCTCCTCCACTAAGCCCCCTCCTTGCAACACTGAGCCGCTGCACAGTGGTGGCACAGACTGGGTCCAGCCAGGGATCGGGGCCTGGCCACGCTAGGCGCTGCACACCCGGAGAAGGTGCACGTGATTCTGGGGTCTCTCCTGCCCCAGCGGGTATCAGCCCGTGCTAGCCCTGCAGCCTGGCGCCCCAGAGGCAGAGCCCGGCGCCACCGCAGGGCTTGGGGCTGCAGTGAGGGGTGAGATTCAGCACATGTGGGGGCTGTTCAGGAGTCCCAGATAGGCAGGGTCGAAGGCGGAAGACCCGTGCCAAGCCAAACAGCGAGGCAGGCACAACGTCCCCGGAGCCGTGGATGCCCCAGCCCATTCCTCAGCCCCCAGGAAGCCCCGTGTCCGCCCCAGGGGAGGTAGGAGAGCTGCCCCCACCCCACGTCCCCTGCCGGTCGGGGTTTCTGTTTGCTCCGTGCAAGGAGCCCATGAAAAACACTGGCTCTGGCTAGGCCCGGCCCCGGTCCCAGGTTGCAAGGGTGTGAAGGGAAGCACATGCACGTAGTTGGAGCGACGCGGAGGCTTCAAAGCCAAGAGGAACAAAGGCCGAGTCTAGTCGAGACGTTCTCGGAGCCAGGTGCACGCTCACCCACTGGTGCTGGGGAAGGGCCGGGGCCCTGTTCACCCATCTGTGCCCAGCTCACCCCCATGTCCCTCCTGGCCTCCCCTCTCCGGTGCCGGGCAAAGCACCAGCTGTCCGTGCCTCACAGGGGCTCTGCCCATCGCCAGCCCTTAGCCCTGGTCCCCACTGCCCTGAGGTCCCTCCCCACGCCGCCCCCACCTCCGCATGGCACGGCCTCCTCGGGAAGGCAACGGGGCGCCCAGCAATGAAAGGAGGCTGCGATGTGTGGGATGGGCACGGGGCTGGAAGCCAGGAAAGAGGCGCTCGACTCATCGCTCTGCTACTGACTGCCTTGGGGAAGAGGCCTGGCCTCAGTTCAGCTCTGTGAAATGGGCACAATCCGGTGTCCTGCACATGCTGTGAGGCCTCCCGACACCACAAGGCTGCTCTAGAAAGGGCAAGTAGTGGCGTTGAGCAAGGAGCTCGGGGCTCTGCGGGGGGACCCACAGGCTTGGAGGGCACACTGAAGCACCACCGGCGACCAGCAAATGGCACGGCAGACGGAGTCGGAGTGAATGCCAGCGGGATGTGGACAGTGTCTCCGCAGAGCACCTCGGGCTGGGCCTGGCCGGGTGGGGGTGGATACAGGACTGCCCCCAGCCGGGCTGGGAGGAGAGCTGGGTTTGGAGCAGCTCAAGCCACATGCGTTCTGCCGACACCTCCTGCTCATGTCACCGGGCACTGGGGCCACATCGCCGAGACCCACCCCTTCCCCATCCCCGAGCCCCCTGGGTCGGGGTTCACAGGTCACGCAGGGAGGGGACCAGGCTCCATCACTCCTCGCTCGGCCCTTCTGGCAAAGACAGTCCCCTGGGTCCCGAGCCACATGGTGGGCCCCCTAAATCAACCAGGTCAGCTCCATTCGTAACGAGCTTTTGGAGAGCCCCAACGTCAGGGCCGGCTCCGTTTGCTGGAGAGCATTAAGGAGTCAGCCACGAATCCCAGGACTCTGGGAGCTGTGGCTTTAGGAACTGCACCAGCTATGCAGAGACCCGCGGTTAGACCAGGGGCAGGACACAGACTGGCCGGGGGCAAAGCCGGGAAAACGAGCATCAGTTCTGCAATGAGCCTGTTCCAGCTGTGAAGTCCCATCCGGGACGAGACGTGTGCACGTGCATCTACACACCTGTGCAAGGTGACCATGCTCCCCACTGTTTTCCACCAAGCACTGGCCTGTATAAGACCCTCCCCGCCCACATGCAAACACACATGTGCAAACACACACGCGTGTGTGTGCATACGCATGCTCCCATCACCCCGCAGGGGGGTGTTTCTTTTGCTTTCATCCAGAGGAGACAGAACAGACGGCGGGAGAGTTTCACGGTCAGCTACGGGGCCAGCAGTGACCTCGGCTCCTGGGTTCCCATCGCCGGAGCTGACGCCTGAGTCACGGGGATGGAGGGGAAAGGTCTGATGGATTTGGCCAGACACCGCTGCCTGGAGCCCCCCAGCACCGAGCACCACAACCCCGGTCGGGCAGCTGGAAGGAAACCTCCGGTGGGACGGCACCGTGCAACGCTGCGAGGCAGATGGCACAGCCACAAAACACCCACTCCCCGGGCGGGAGACGTGGCAGCTCTCGCGGGGTAGGGCTTTCCATCTGCAGAGCGTCGAGGCTTTCTGCCGCCCCGACGGGGTGGCAGGCCGTGCCAAAACCCTGGCCACGCGGGCAGGACGTGGCATGCGGCACCTGGCTGCCTCTGCACGGCTTCTCCCGGCACGGGCGAGCGGCTTCCCCTTCCCGCGCCAGCCCCCGCGGCCGAGAGAGACATTTTGGCTTCTCCCTCTGCCTCTCGAGCGTGGCTCGCCCCGGTGCTTTCTGGGAAGCCTGCAGGGTGCCCGGCACAGATGGCGGGAGCAAGGGCTGCCGGGTAATTTCCAAGCGCCGAGCGCTGCCTTGTGGGGGAGGATTAGGCAGCTGGTCCGACCCCGAGACATCTGCAGCGCCGGGGAGAAATGGCTCAGCCGAGCCCCAGCCAGCGGCTCCTTCCCCGCCTGGGGCCGCCTCTGACCTTCAGCCCAGCTGCCCGGGCCTTTCCCTGCCGGGGCGGGAGGGGCAGGCACGCGGGGTGCACCAGGCCGGACCCCTCCCGGGGCAAAGGGGCAGGATTTGCAACCCCCCCAGGGCTGCCTTCCAGCCACTGCTCCTCTCCCCCCAACTCCAGCCCATTCACCTTGCAGCGGGGGTACAAGCGGGGAGGGGGCTCGCGAAAGGAGCCGACAGATGGGCTGCCGGAGCGGTGGCACGGCGGCCGCGCGCTGCAGTCCAGGGAGAGCGAGTGGGGAAACGGGCTAAATTTAGCCGCCGGCATCCGTGCCAGCTTTGTTCCCCCGCCCCTCCTCTCCGCCGGCAGCTCCTGGCCCGCTCGCTGCCTCTGCTGGGTCCCTGGCACGACGGTGCCCACGGCAGCACCGGGTCCCGGGCTGCACCGTGCAAGGCACCCTGGCGCCCAGAGCAGCCGGGTCTGCTCTCTGCCCGACAGACACCCCGTGAGCCAGAGCCGTGCTGCACCCTGCGCAGCGCCTGCCGCACGCTGGGTCGTCGCACGGAGCCGCCTGGGCTTCCCACCCCCACCCCCATCTCGGGCACGGCGCAGGCCTCTGGCCGGCGCGGTGCGGGTTAACGCCAGGCAGGCTGGAGGCTTCGAGGCTAGTAACATTTGGAAGGCGCCAGCTGGAAACGTGCCCGTCCCGAGGTCTAGAGCTCGGCAGGCGATGCTCCCCGGCGCTGGCCCGGGCAGGGGGGCTGCGGTGGGGAGGGCTGGGGAAGGTGGAGGCGCGCGGACGTCCCCAGGAGCAAGGATGCTGCCCCCCGCGGGGGCACCTGGGCTGCTCCGCAGGGAGCAGGGCGACACGCCGGCCCTGCCAAGCCTGCCCGGGGTGCAAGCTCCCAGCACCTGGCCCCGGCGGGCCGCCTTATTTTAAGGTCCGGGTGCAGCCGGCCGGAACCCAGGTAGGGTTTCAAGGCACCCGGGGGCCCCTCTCCTACGGCGCTGGTGACTCACGCGCCATCTGGGGAGGGCAGAGAAAAGGCGTGGAAGTGGGGGGACGGCGAGAACCCGTCCCCTCCCTGGTCCAATTTTAGAAACCGGCTAGACGGGCCTGGCGGGGCGGGACCCGCGGGAAGGGAGCGGGGCGAGCGGAAACTCCTGGCCCCGGATCCGGTTTCCTGGGAGACCCGGGCCGCGGCGGGGGGCTCGGAGGGGTGACGGGGCGACTGCCAACCCAGGCGTGCTGCGGCGCTGGATCCGGCGCGGGGGTGGGGGGCCGAGGTGAACACCCAGGGAGAGCATAACGCCCAAGCAAGCATGCCAGTCAGGCGTGCGAAACACACACACACACAAGCTACAGCGCCCCATCTGCCACGGAGAGGCTCAGGACGGCCAGCTCTCCTCGCCTGGGCTCTGGCCCCCCAGCTCCCACGCTGCAAGGGAGAGGTGAGCTCACAGGCCCCTTGCCCACCTTGCCGGGTCCCCCGCCTCGGTGTTCCCACCTGCAGCCCTGCCCTTGCTCACGCCAGCAGACGAGGTGCGGTGCAGACACGCAGGGCAGCGGGTCCTGGCCACAACAGTGTGGGCTGGGCCCTGTGGCAAGGATTGAGCCAGATCCCTGGGCTACGCTCCAGGGTGGCATGGATGGGGCCTCCTCTATCCACACCCCGCAGTCAAACCAAGGTCCCAGCCATTCCCCTACATCTCTACGTTGTGCCATCTCCCTGGCTACCGCCACTGAGGACGGGTACCACCACCACATCCTCTGGCTCTGCCCGGATCAGCGCCCCAGCCACAAAGCAAGGCGCCTGCAAACCTCCATGCCTCCCTTATGCCAAGAAGGGGTGTCAGGATCCGGGCGGGTGACCCCGAGAGGCCCTTCCACCGTCCTCCCGGCTGTTGGAGGACTTGCAGCCGACCTGCCTGTCCCCCCTAAAAGCCGCCTGGGGTGTCTGACAGGCGGCAGCCAGGCGGAGAGGTGCGAAGGGGAGGAAAGCACCACTTTGCACTTCCCCATCCACGGCCCCGTGCCCAGGGATCTCGGAGCACTTTGCAAGCCATCGCACCTCGTGGCTGGCACACATGGGGGGCAGACATGTCACGGGCCGCTCTTACCGGAAGGGGGTGGGGGGGAATTGATGCTTCAAGCGGTGAAGCGGCATTGCTGCGGTCCCACAATGGGGCAGGGAGGACTGAATCCCCTTGGCCGGGGTCATGGGATGCTCCCCAACACCCCGAGAGCGGTAAGTGTGGTCCCAGCTGCCCTCCACCCCGACGTGGCGAGAACACTCCTGGACTAGGAGACACCGGGACGGGTGGAGGGATGGCATAGTGCCGCAGGGTGGGCCACGTGAGCCCACGGCGCTCCATGCCCATGTCTGCATGCTGCGCCTGGCTTGGGGGTCCCATTTACCCCGCGTGTCTCAGGGCCACAAAGGGCTGCAGTGGAGCAGGAGGCGCTGCTGGGTGCCATGTACCGCAGCTCCGGGACCCGCCTTCCCTGAGCACCCTGGTTTTGGGGACTGGTGCCTGCACCCCTCTCCACAGCCCTGGTGCAAGGAGAGGCAGGACGCAACTGGGGGGCAGGGGAGAGGGCTCTGGGCAGGGGACACCGGTTATTATTCTTGCCAGACTGCTCTCCATTGCAACGGGAAAAGCGCCCGGCAGAGCCCGTGCTGATTGCCTCCCGCCTGTCAGTCAGGCATCACTTTGTAGATGCCCATAAATTGCTCCATTACCTCTTCTAATTGAGGAGAACGCAGCTGCCGAGGGGCGGTGGCAGAGCAGGCTCCTTCTGAAGGATGCCTCGCACGCAGCCCGCGGGTGCCGGGCCGCCAGGGAGCCCCCCACCCCAGCCACCACGCACCCCAGCGCCTGGCCCGGGGGGTGGGGAAGCCTCGCAGGTGGGATGCGGACTCCAGATCCAGTCCTGACCCCTCCTGTGTGCCCGGGGTCAGGAACAGACCCAGGTGTCCTGACTGCCTACCTGTCTCTGCCTCTTGCTGA